CCCCCCCCCCCCCCCCTCGCGCGCGCTCTTGTCGTAACGCCTCCACGAAAAGGTTTAACGCCGTGGTCGGCTCGTCCTTTGCCGCGGCGATTGGCCTGGTTGTGATCATGACCCTGTTCCCGTACCTCACCTTCGGCGGGGCCTCCAAGAGCTTCATCCTCAACAACTTCGCGACCTCTGTGAGTGTTCGTGCCAAGAGGCTGCGCCTGTAGTCAGTTGCTGCTGCTGCTGCTGCTTCTGCTGCTGCTAATTGTGGTAGTGAAGACACCAGCATCTTGTCGCCCCTACATAGCTTGTGTGAGCGGACGGCCGTCGTCGGTATTGTTATTAAAGTACCGGTTCGTGTCGTCTTCGGAACAAGTCTCCGAAGACCTTGCTATCTGCGTCCCAGTTCATCGTGCGAATGTTGTCTCTCTAACCTTTATCCTACTTTGTTTCCTGGCCCCGTCCTTGCGGGGGGGGTGGTTTATTGCGTCAACCGTAAGGACCGCCTGGCGACGTCTTGCCGCCTTGCGATCGCCAGCTCCATCGTGGGAGGCTACCCGCTGGTGTTCATGCCCGCCAAGACCGGCGCCCTGGCCGCCTTTGGTATTTCGGTGCGTGTACATGCACACGCCGCGGTTGCACCGGGAGTAGTGCGCTTCTGCGTTTGAACAGCTTCTTAGTTAGGCCACAGCATGCAACTGTAAAGCAAGCTGGTGTCGACTGCGTTGGCGCGTGGCATGGCTTTGGACGGCCATCCACACAGCAGTATCTTCTTCTTCACAGCACGTGCCGAAAGTAATCCTCACAAAACTGTACCTTGAACAATCATTACAAAAGGAGTTTTTTTTTGTCGTGGAAACAAAAAAGAAAATCCTACTGCAACGCGACCGCCCTCACCCACCCCCCCCCCCCAAAAAAAAAAAAGAACCAGACGGCCCAAAACAAGAAGGCATTTTCGGAAGAGCGGAGCAGCTGGGTCGAACAGGTGACCACCGATTGGTCCGTCCGCAATACTGCAGTACCAACATCAAACAGCACGCGTGTGTTCAACCATCTTTANCCCTGCTGCTCGGCATGTTCACGGCTATCGGGGTGCTCCTGACCGACCTCGGGTTCGTCGTGAGCTTCGGCGGCGCCGTGCTGGGGTCCGCTCTTGTGTTCATCTTCCCGACGATGATGTGGATCGCGCAGAGCAAGAAGGACGCCAAGTGGGGAAAGCCGCTCAAGGTGCGTGGGGTAGACGGGGGGGATGAAGGTGGTGGTAAACCCTGAGACTACAACCGTACCGTAAAACCTTGACGGGTGAAGAGGAAGGTGGTCCTTCTTGTGCTTGCTTGGTTCTTCCTGTGTCTCGTGCTCGAAATTTGCGGCTTGCCGTGAAAAAAAGGAAAGATTCAGACAGGCAACGCCGACGAAACTCGTCGAGCTGCATCAATACCCTTGGACTACCGTAAAACCTTGAAGGGTCAAGACCGCCGTAGATGGGCTTCTTAGCAGAGCACGCGTGACGGGGAGGAACGTTGAGAAGTATGTCCTGCTGCTGGCATCCATTATGACCCCTCCTCCCAGGTCTACTCTCCTTTTGTGTGTCTCTTGAGTGTTCACACCAACAATTTTGTTGGCATTCTACCTTGTTGCTTCCACTACCTCTCACGCGCACTGCTGCTGTTCTTGGACGCGCGTGCGAGCAGGGATGGCGCCGGGCCGAGATCATGGGCAACTACGTCATCTCCGCTCTGGGCGTGGCGCTTGCCGTGCTGGGCGGCGGCCTCAGCATCAAGAAGTCGTTCTTCTAAGACAGTCCCATTCTTCTAGAAGCTTCTCCTAGAAGATATTTTTGCTGCCACCGTCCGTTTGTGGGCCTAAGTAACCTCACGAAGGTACAATACCTCTTCTGAGAGATGGATTCAACCCTTTCCTTCGATGGGGTTTCCGTACGGGGGTTCAGAATGTCGAAGTGGGGGCGGGGGTAGTGGTGATGATGTTTTTGCTCTTTCTCCTTCCTGGAGGAAGGGCTTCACTCGGCACAGAAAACGGCAAAAACGTTGTCGCTCCTTTTTGTGCGAGGAAAGGGTATAGCGGATAAGGTTATTTTGTTGTGCGAGAGAACATGAGACGCATGTGACGTTGCTTCGTACAACTGCATATAATTTCGCCAGTTTTCGGAATAATAAAACCCGAGATGACCGGTAGCGCAACTCGATAAGGATAGTTGAGTACAAGGTATCAGCAGTGACAATAGAGAGAAGCTCCGCTTGTCGTTGAGCAATCGGCGAGCTTTGAGGGCGAAACGGAATTCCTTGGTTGTTCTCGAGAGAAGAAACGCAAGCGTCACTGTATTGTTTAGAGCGTTGGGGATGTAGTGTTGTGGCAGGCGTAGGTCTTTTGCTGTTAGCTCGAGAAGGCGCATGTCGTAATTTCTTCGACTTTGTGAGGTCCATTCATGATAGGCTACGTATACCCCCCGTGCACCATACATGAATCTTACACTGCCCCAACACGACCCTTCCTTGTTGATGTTCGGTATCGGTTCCGTGAAGAGGCAGTCGATAGAGTCTGCCTCGGGGCGAGTAAGCGTTGCAGCCTTCACAACCCTGTGGGCAACGGGTCCAAGTACGTGCTCGTTTGCGACCTGTTTTTTCCTTCCTGCTTTGGGTTTTTAGTAGTAGCTCATGTTTTCCGCGTGTTTTCGTGTCCTTTCTTGTTTTGGTCGGCTGTGCCGAGCGGGTTGGACAGGAAAATTAAATTTGAAATAGGTAAAAATGCTAGATTAGCGTCGCGGATGTAGAAGTTGTGCCTCTAGGAGGAGTGGGGCAACCCGTCCGGTTGCCTCGCAGTTTTATCTTTTATTCGAATACTCCTTGGTGTAGACTTTTTCTTTCCCTTGTAGTATTTGCGACTTTATTCTCTTTGAGAGGGGGCGGCTTTTCGACAAAAAATACATTTTTCGCTCGTTGTTTTTCAAGGGCACACAATCTTGCTACTTGAGGTGTCTCATTTGGATCTTCGGCAGCTAGCTGGCTTTTGGCGAGTGATGAAAGATGGCGTTCAATTTCCCTTTTTTCCATGCAAGAAAGGATGAGACATATGATGGTTGTTGACAGTGCTGTCATTGGCGTGGCCAACTTGAGGCGGTGTGTGTTGAGGAGGAGCGGTTTTGGTTAACCTTTGTAGAAAAGGAACCGAAACGGTTGGTTGACTGAAACTCGCCATTCTTGTCGCGGTACAGTTTACTGGCGAGTGCTCGTTGTCCAACACCTTCTTGGCCAATTGCAACGGAGTTTGTGGCGGTTTCTTGTCTTCTCTTTTTCTTCTTCGGTGAAAAGGCCCGAAGGCAGGAAAGGAAGCGAAACCGACACTTGAGACGAATACCACACGTTTTTATTTTGTTCGTGATGAGGCAGTCAATAACGACCGGCCGATTGGCCGGCTGAGAGACAAAGCTCCCCAGCTAGGAAAGACACGTAGGACTATAACACGAAACGATTATGGACGGCTAGTATGCATAGGTCGCCCCTTCATGGCCCCCCAGCCGCAACCACTGGTGCTGCCTCCCTTCCCCCCCCTTTCGAGTACACCGAGTAGACGGAGCCCCCTGCGTTCAGCGAAAACATTGATCGGTCAGCGATGCCTCTCGCGGTTGCGCCGCGACTGCAGTGGTAGTGGTTGTTGCCGGAGGAGCTGCTGCTGTTTCGGAAGGCGTAGTTGTCGCCAAACCGCGTGATGCCGCCGCGGCTGACAGGAGTGGGTCCCTTTCGCTGCCATCCTGCTCTGGCGCGCGCGCTCCGCAGGGCCGTAAGCGACGACGATGTGTTCTTCACCGCGTGCTGTTTGTTGTTGTGGTTGCGACCGGGGGTGGTCCCCGCCGGTGGTGCCGATCCCGGACGCGCGGAACTGCGCGGCCGACCTCCTCTGTTGGTGTCGTTGTGCTTGCCGCCGTACACAACATCGCGCTTTCGATGACATTCTCTCCCGACGGATGCAGCAGCGCCGCCGCCGCAAGCTACGCCGCCCGCGCGTTGTGCCTTGTTTCTCGCCTGGGGTGCGTATTTGATGCCGCCGCGGCTGGCTTCTGTTGCTGTTGTCGGCGCCGCCGCCGCCGCCGCCGCCGCCTTACGCCCCATCAGGCGCGCGTTCGCGGTCTGCGGCCGGCGGTGTTGGCGAATGAGGCTCCACGCCGCGCCGCCGCTGCCGCCGCTCACGCTCGTCGCGAGCATCGGTCTCCACAACTCCCTCCCGTCGTCGCCGCCCCGCGCAGCCCCCCAAGCCTCGCGTCGAGTCCCACCGGCGCCAGCGCTACCACTACTACCGCAAACACCGCCGCCGCCGTCACCGCCTCTACCCCACACCAGTCGGACGTCGTCTGCGGCGGTCATTCCTCCGGGGCCGAGACGCGGCGGCACTGCTTCGCAGCCGCCGACCACGCCGACTCGGCCCCGTACTATGCCACGCCTACCGCCGTTGCCGTCGTCGTCTCCGCCGCCGGCGGCGGAGTCATCGCCGCACAGGCAACAGGACCACCGCTCTCGGGCCTCGGTCCCCCACCGGCCGAAGCGGCCGGGGTGTTCCTGAGAGGGCCGCTTGCTAGTTTGTCCCCCTCCGGTGATAGCGCTCTCCTCGTCGTGCAACGTACGGCGGCGGCGACCCCCATTGGTGGAGAAGGACACGGTTAGGCCGTCGGGCACGTACGGTGGCAGAGGTTCCTCGTCCTCGTCGGAGAGCGCGGCCGCTGCCACCTCCGCCGCCTTTGCCCACGCGTCGGCCTCGCTAATGATGGACCCGTGCGGCATCGGTAGCTTCTGCTGGGTTTCTTCCTGCGGCTCAGTAGCACGATCGCCGG